TTCCACTTAACAATGGAGGAAGTACTTGCTCAGCACCAAATGCAAGGTGACAGGGCGATGAAGGACCTTGATTTTATTCCAGGTGTCCCTTCCTCTCAAAGAGGCAGTGTGGAACCAGCAGGCATGGAGAAGTAAGCATATACATGCCCCCCCTAAAAATCTCCTCAGAGGACACTCCAGAAATAGCTGGGCAGCTCCATGCTGACTGGCATCTTCAACCCAAAGCAAGTTCAAGTCCATTTCTTGACACTGACTTAGTTACCTGATTTCAATGTCTTCACATAAAAATGGTCATTTCAGTGTAGGTGGCTTTGTTTGTTCCGCATGGGTCTCACAAATCTTGCCTCAACATATGTTCAAGCGGCCAATGCAACTACTTTAGATTTGATTATTTTTCGTTCTGAAACAAAACTAATTCATGAAAGGTCTCAGGCATATCAATCAATTGATGGAAGTTAAAAATTTAATAGTTTTCTAATGGAACATTGTGTCCAGCCATATGAGGTAAAGACAGGACATGGGGGGAAGTGACACTTCCAAAAGTTCACTATACATTGATTGACAGTATCATCTGCCTGTGGTCAGGCTTGTGTGTGTGTGTGTGTGTGTGTGTGTATATAAGAGAGAGAGAATAATAGAGTCATACAGCATGGAAACAGACCCTTTGGTCCAACTCGTCCATGCTGACCAAGTTTCCCAAACTAAACTAGTCCCACTTGCCTACATTTGGCCCATATCTCTCTAAACCTTTCTTATTTATGTGCCTATCCAAATGTCTTTTAAATATTGTAAGTGCACCTGCATCTACCACTTCATTTGGCCATTCATTCCGTATATGAACCACCCTCTGTATGAAAAAGTTACCCCTCAGATTCCTTTTGAATCTTGGGCCTTTCGCCATAAAAATATGCCCCCCAGTTTTCAACTCACCCAGCATAGGGAAAAGACCTTTGCTATTCACCTTACCTATGCCCCTCATGATTTTGAAACCTCTATAAGTTTATCTCTCAACCTCAGCAATGTGTGTGTGTGGTGTGTGTGTGTGTGCGCGCGCACACGCACTTCAGCAAGATGGGGTCCAACGCACATCCTGTCAGAAGGTTGCATCCACATTTTTGAGCTGAATTTCTCTCCCTGCCAGTGTATATCACAAACATATTCATAATATGTTTCATTCTTGTCTGAATAAACATACAGGCTAAAGTGCAAGAAAAAGAAAAGTACCGCAAAAGCTGTAAGTTTGAAATAAAAATAAAAATGCTGGAAATACAGAGGAGGTGTGTGAAAATATCTAAAAAGAAAGGATGGGTGTACATTTCAGATGCAATCATTGAAGACTGGCCATTCAACCGACTCATCATTTTAAAATGTCCAAATTTTTAAAAATGCATAACACTGGTTGACACAAACTAAATTTGCAAAATACAGTCTCATTGGGTTAAAAATTCAAGACAGCAACTACTAACTGAAGGGTGATTCGCCCAATTACTGAGTTCAATATTTGCATAGATAATGGCTAGTACTGGCCAACAAAGATCTATATTACCCCTAGTGTTTTCGACATTCGGCACCTACAAACTGAAGCAGAAGTATGAATTTGTATAGCACATTAACAAGCATCATTAGTCTTTAGTCAAAACTAAATGGCGCTGAAAAGGAAATCCTGTTTAGGTCAGGGTGCTGGCTAATTTAAAATGGAAATTATCTCCTGATGGTTCACAGATAAAATCAAACTTAAAATGAAATCAAAGATAAAAGAAATGAAATAGAGAAAGAGGACACAGGCAAGCCGGCAAGTTAATCATTAAATAGTGACAAATGATGCTGTTAAGCTTTTAAATCTTCTTTGCTCATGAGTCATGCAGTTAAATTTAGAACAGCACTGTTAAATAATTTAAACATTTGGCATCTTTGGAGA